ATTCCTGTGAGGGACTGTTGGTCCAGTGCACAACAGGACACAGCTGTGCTTCTGTGAGGTGTTTACCAAATGACCCAAAGAGTGACTTCAGCATAGGAGGGTTAATCAAGAGTTTATAATGTGGAAATTTGAGTTACTTTCAATTGGTCAAAATTGTAATAATAAACCCACAATACAATTGTCAGACCCTCTTTCCCTAGACTGCTATAGAGGATTTTCACGTGACGTCACATGACAGGCAAAAATATTTTAGGACGCCTTCCATGTCGGTAGAAGTGCGTGCAGTTTTTAATCCGTGTATGTCTATTAGCAGTTTCATGTACGCCAAAGTTGCAAGACTTTGAAGGCGTGTACATTTCTGCACGCCTCCGTGTTCATTGGACGCTGACCGCCACGTGAATGAAAATCATCTGTGTAGCAGGTAGCGTGTTCACAGTTCCAGAGTTCTTATGTGAAGGGTTCTAAGTCTGGACAAGGGCCCAGCCATGCCGGCTTTAATACCCCCCCCCCGAGTTGCTAAAACAAATGATGCACATACATGTACTAATGGGAGAAACCATTTAATGTAAGGACTTTTTGAATGCTGTGCTTCAGACAGAGGAATATGATGATGTAGCAGTTGGCAGTGGAGTATCACCAAAGGGACCGCCACAGGCGTATTATGGAAACTTCTCTGTGAGTTTTTTAGAACATTTGCTGAAGCCTCGCTTCAAGTCAGAACTAACACCACTGGTTCAGCTCTGGCTTAAATATGATGTGACTATGTGGTAGAAGGTCATATCTTGATGTCTGACTCGGAAGTTCAGAGATTTGTTTGATGCCGAGAAGGCTTACAACATCCTTGTGTGTGTGTCACACATGAAGGTCACGTATATGACCTTTCTCCTGGACATGACCTGGTGGATATGAAGATATGACCTTGAGGTTAGAAATTTGACATCAAAATTTTTGAGCTACGTGCAACGTCAAAAGTGCCGTTTTTTCCAAGCTGAGATCTCAAAAATCTCCCGACATCTTGTTTGTGTACCGTTTTGAGGAAGTATTTCGGAAGGAAATCACTTAGCTCTGAGATAGTTTGATTTTGAAAGCAGCAACTCTTTTGCAAGAACATCAGATATATACATGCATGTTAGGTTTAACTTGCTGACCAAACATTTTTCTGCTTGTCACTTCTGAGACGTAGGGTAAGGTTAACCCATGAACTATGACCTGCAAATTGTTATGTTGAAAATTAACCTCATTGGCATGAGAGAATGACCTGAACCACTTGGTGCCAGATGATGTGTAAACACACATAATTTTCTTTATTTGTTCCATGGAGGACGTGTACACTCGTTAAGAATTCTTTTTTTCATTTCCATGGTTGGTGTATTAATGCGTCGTACTTGGTTGGGTCAAAGCACGGTTGGAAGTTTGAAGAATTTACAGTTCAAAAAAATCCATCCCCGACAGTTTTTTTGGGTAAGACAATCCAACATTAATCGGTTGAAGGTTGAATCACTTTCCAGCTCCCGTCATCTGAAGTAAGACTTATACTTGTACTCGATGCTTGAAGTTTGACCTCTGACTTTGTGATCTTGAAAGTCAAATCACTTGTCAGTCCAAGACCTGTTGGTGGTTTGTTGAAATTTGGCCTCTTCAAGGTTGAATCAACTTCCAGTCTAATCATCCCGGAATATGACCTGTGATTGTGTGTTTGAACATTTGAACTCTGACCTTATAGGCCTGACCTTGGAAGTTAAAATCAGCTCTCTGTTTTCTGTCTTTACCTGTCTCACAGCTTTGCACCATGTCATCAAGTCTTGTGTCTTTTTCCCTGTAGCAGATTTCTTCCTCTTTTTACTCAAAAGCTTTCTCCTCGGCGATCTTTTCAAAAGAGAGTTTATAGGGGGTTCAATCGAACAGCTGCAGTGTTATCACCAAGACGCTTCAGGAAAGTTAGTTGCCAGGGATTTTGTCAATCATCAAATCTCAAAAAGTTTTGCAAAGCCTTTTTAAATTTGTTCATGTTTGTGAGCATTTGCTATTGATTCATATTTGTTTATATTTTTCTGTGGCTATTTGTTTATTGTCAGCATATGTGCATATATTTTTACATTTTCTTTTGTTCGATGAATGGGGTTTCCCAAAGTTGTTATCTGTAAAGAAAATTTTGAACTAATTTGAAAAGGATAGAGAGGGGTAGTCTTGGAGGAAGAAAACATGACTTAAAATGCTCTCTACTAAGCCTTTTTTGTTTACAATTTTCTTGGTTTGTATTCCCACAGTGGAATCCATCCTGTGCAGACTTTTTTGTTCATAAATTATTTGAAGGCATTCAGAGATGTTGACTTGGAATAGATTTTGCTAATCACTGTTTTTAAACTATCTTTCTCATGTTAACTGCAGTCCTGAACTTATTAACACTTTCAAACTGCATTTATCTACAAGTCCATGTGACCGGCTCCAGAAATATGGGAAAAAAGTCGCCAGATTCAGGTTATGAGTTTTTGATGTGGCTTGATTCTGTCCATGAAAAGCTACAATTTGATGTATGATTGACCCCTGATGATTGACCCCTGTAGTGTGCTACGTTCCAGAGATATATAGACATTTGTATATCCACATTTTTGGATACGGCGCTTGGAAACACAATGCTATATAGGATTTCCTACTGAATGATCCATTTTTCATCTTCATTCATCAGTATCCATGTTTGTAGTCACAAATTCTGAAAATGTAAATATTAAAAAAGCTATAAAGGAAAAAACACAAAATCACATTTTTGAAGAAAATGTGCCCTCTCCAAATAGAACATGCCATTACATGTTTTGGCATTGCCCGACTTATTACCCTTTTTTGCAGAGCGGGTCACATATAACATGTCAATCACTCTAGTGCATGTAAAAGTGTCTGCGCATTACTGATCTTGTGTGGTCTTAATAGAATTCCAGACATGCAGAATTTTCAATGTTTTTGTTGACACGTCTC